CCCCCCCCCCCCCCCCCCCCCAATAAAAGGAAACCCCACCTCCAGAACCCTCAACCCCAATCCTTCAACTCAAGAATAACTAATTGACATGCCGGGCCGGTGGGCGTTGCGGAATTTGCGGTAAGAAATGCCAAGGGTACACTAAACATAGGACTTCTCCATTGTGCAGGGTCAAATTCAAGCGGAGTAGAAACTCACAATTACACATTCCACCAAGGCACAAGATTTATTTGCAATAGTTGTATGGTTATCTGGTTAAATCCCAGTTGAAAAATACAGAGTATATATAAGTTTTTTGGGGCAAGTAGAAAATGCATTTTACAGGGGAAGATTTGATACTACTAAAACATAGGAATTGTAGAAAATAAAATTAAGATCAGAAAATGAATTGAATGTTCATCATCAAGATGATGGTGGAAGAGGAGGAGGAGCTGAGCTTGAAGATGAAGCGCCCGAAAGTAGATCGGCTAAAGTGCTCATGGCTCGGACTTGCATTTCCAGCGCAGCTATATAATCGGTGGCTTCTTCTAGAACCACCGGCAGCGGCTGTTTCCGGCAACCGGGTATTATCCGGCCCAATGCCCGACCCTTCCTCTGTACAGTCTGTAAATTCTTCATTTTCAGCCGGAGAATGCTCAATCTCGGCTTCTTCGGAAGTCGACTACTCCCTCTAGCCGCCACTGCCGCAGCCGCGGCCACGACTCTCTGCCGCTTGTTGTTCCTCTTCATGAACTTCAGCTTGAGGCGGTTGGTGAGGATCGCACGGCTCCACCTGGTTCGGCCTTTGGCTGTAACCGCCAAAACTCTGTCCGCCACTTCCCGAACAGCTCTTCCTCCCTTCGGCGCCGTCGCCGTCCCCGGCGGCGGACTTATCCGGAGCGTCCGCAGAGCTCCGAGAAGCCTAGAGGAGTAAACTTGCTGCTGAGATTCCGACTTCCAATCAGCAGCCGAGCTGATACCGTTCGCATCTTGACTCTGCGCGCCGGAAGGAAGACTTCTCTTCTGCTTCCTCCTCCTGCTCGCCGCCGCTCTACTCGCCGTGTTCGTAACTGGATTCGAAACAAAAACACTCGACTCCATCGCCGACGATCCGATCGGATTCCGGAACGCCGCGAGACTCGCGGATCGAACTGTCCAGATCAGGAGTCGGCGAATCTGATGATCGAGATCCGTGAAACGGATCAGAATCGGCGATTACCGGCTAATCAAATCAAGGATGTATAACAACGATTACACAAAATCAAGGAGCGATTAAGCTTAAGCAGAAACTTGAAGAACAAAATAACGCCGTACCGTGAAGACGAAGAAAGCGGAGAACGGATTTCCAGATGCTTCAACCCCCGTTGATTGATTGCGGTTCACATGTGCAGGGCGTTGAGTCGGAAGGGAATCTGAGCGTTGCGAAAATGCGTTGCGGGCCTTCCTTTATAAATGTGGGAGTGGAGAGAGGGGACGGCTTATTTATTTAATTTAATTTTTACACATGGGTTTAGCACTGTAGTCTCCCCTCTTTTCCACGTATTCCGGGTCATTCACTGCCTAAATTCATTCACTCCCATCAAAATTCAACCATCCTAGTTGTCATCACTTTCTTATGCACCAAGAATTTAGATGTTGATGACTCACCATAATACAAAATGTTAGCGCAAAAAAATTATTAATGGATTTAATTCAAGAAGAAATTTGAGTAAATTCTATATTTGTCTTTTATAACAGAGAGATTTCCTTATTTAATCTTCTATTATTAAATATTACTTCAGAAAATTTTTGAATGGAAAAAGTATAAAAGTATACAATGAATTAAAATTTAAAAATAATAACAAAATATTAATATCAAAAAATATTTTCAATATGTTTTTTAATCACTTTTTGCAAATATATTTTAAACAAAACTTGCTAATGAAATATTAAAGTCAAAAAGTGAATCGAGTAGTTAAAAAAGAATGAAGAGAGTATGATTTATCCCGATCAGGATTGGACCTACGCCTCATTCCGAACCGAAATGGCGATTCTACACACAGACCCGCGACAGCGCGGGTCGCAGGAGGGCAGTAACGGAACCTGCGACCACAGTACCTGTTCGGGGAGGGGAGAGAACTAACGGTTTTGTGTTCAAACCAGTTCTAGACTGTTTGATTTTTTTGAATTATAAAGAAAATGAGGAGTTGGGGCCTAACTTTTCCGGCTCTGAGGCATCAAGGGAGCGTCTCAATGACCGAATATTGATTATTATATTTGGATTAATGTTATCCTAAGTCTTGAATTTGTTGTATAAATTTGTTAAATGGTTGAATCAATGTACCTAAAAGAACTCTAAGAACTCAACTGAATGGTAGTGGTAAGTCCTGCCATAAGAATAAAGAGGTTAGAGCCATGTGGTACCTGCTGAGTCCAGTGACTAATTAGGTACAAATGTGAGTACGAAGATCTATGAATTGTCGTTCCAAAATAGATTGGGATCTCACTCAACCAATGAAAAACTCTCGAGTTGGTTTGAGCTTGATCTTTGTTCCAAAAGTGAAGTTCATGACTACCATAGGAATGTATCAAGAATAAGCCTTAGCCTAGACTAAGTTATAAGCCAATAAAGAATATAAGGGACTTAAGTACAAGTACGTGATATTTATTGTATGACACTAATCCCCACTAATCTGTGTTCTTCGTGATGTTGTTTTTTCTATACTTGTATGCATGATATCATATGAAAATGCGAGCTAGTTAGTTCATCTATATCCATAGTCAAATGTTAGATATTTATCACTTAACATTAATGATGAGTGTGCGACATTTGCTCTTTGCTGCACACATGCAGGTAATCAAGGTTAGGATAAACCTATACCTAATTTTGGAGGGCGATGAGGACGAAGAGTTGTGCGTGAGAATTTTGAAGACGTGAAATTCTTATTTATTTCTAAATAACTTACTCTGGGTATTACTTTTTCGGACTTGATTCTCAAGTTTTATTTTAAATGTTGACTTAAGCTTCTACATTGTTTTTTGATTACTACAATGAATGTTTAAATTATGTTTTGGATTATTTCTTTTAAATTTCAGTGACCCATGTATTCGGGGTATTCGGATTGTGGTATTACAACTTCATTTCTCAGGTACGAACTTCATCATGTGATTAATGTGAATGAATTTATTATTGTTGAAAAACTAAACGTGTTAGACGTTTTTTATAATGCAAATCTAACCGGACCGGAACCGAAACCGTTAGTGACGGGTGACCGTAGCGGGAGAGAGCCGTGGTGGTATGAGAGCCGCTGGTTTCGGAACCAGACCCAAACTGTAACGTGTCATCAAAAAATTAGATTGAGATTATACCATAATTTATCTCACCTACAATCATTCGGATCGGGATATGGGGGCGTCCGGGTTGAATGTTCCACCTTTTTTAAAAAAAAAATGTTATTTGATCCGCATTAATCTTCTGTTATGCATTACCATTCATTATCTAACTCATTCTTTATCTCCGTGTTTTCACCCATTTTAATTGAGTTGGATAATTGGAATATTCAGACGATTTCAAAAATCTGCATGCGGGTTTGGCCCAAGTGATTGCAGACCCATTAAAGTTGCAAAAGCGGGCTTTTTACGCCCGTCCAAAACCCGCTGCCGAACCCTAATTCTTCAAGTTTCACTTTATAAATCGGGGGATCCCAATTCTTCCCCACCCTATTCCTTCATCCTTTTTTTACTGATCGTATTTTTCTTTGAGATCCGTTTTCTTCTCGTTTTGCCTCTGAATAAGAGGCCTTTGATTAAGGGTTCTCCGAGTTTTCCGATCGAGGCAGAAATTGTCGCCGGAAAGTTGAGTCGCTTCGCCGCCGTTGTTCCACCGGCGCAGCTAATAAAATCCTGCTATATTCATCTGATCGCATCTTCATTGCCCAATAATCAATCCGATTTGATTTTATCTTGATGTGTTTTTATGTGATTGTTTATATATTTTAGCATCTAGAATGATGAACCCGGTTCTGGGAAAATCCAATGATGGTAAACCTTTGAGACCTGAATCAATATCATTGATGATAACGTCAAGCATAATTTCTGAGGATTTTCCCACTGTTAAGAAATAATGTCATTCGATTTACTTTTTCTGGGAAGATTTTTTTTTCAAAAAAATTGCAGAAGACGAATCGAAGTGATGATCGCACTGGGCTCTGAGAGAGGCCTTTCGAAGGCTGTTTTGATGCATAATGCAAGCCTAGAAAGCTTTGTCTGATCGATTCTTTCCTCTCATTTAATTGCATTTTTTTATTTATTTGCCATATTCCTGCTATTTAAATCTTTTTTATATCTTAATTAAAGCACTATTTTCGTTTTTTTAATAAAAGAAATCAATTTCGGAGATGAAAATCATATTCGTAAATGAAAACAACTCTTTTGAACTGTGTTTGCGTCTCTTTTTGGCTCAAGTACAAAGTAAATGAACGGTTTTACACTAGAGAAAATTTGATAATTTTATTAGCATCAATGAAATGATTAAAAATGTAGATAATAAAAAATTATTATGCTGAAATTTGACAAATTTATTAACATGTTTAAAAATATTCTTAGTTATGTGGAAAATATATATTGGGAATTGGTCTTAGATTTTTGAAAAATATTGGATGAAATATCTTTAAAACAGATAATGAAAGAAGTTATTGCACTCGATAGTACGGAGTAATAAGAATAGGTGTTCCTCTTTTCAAAAATATCTTCTTTCATTTTTTCAATTCCAACAAAACACTTCCCTTTTCTATTAAAAAATTACTTTTACCTTTACCTTTTTATACTCTATTTTTCAAATCATACTTTTTTTTTAATAATTTATTTATTACATCTAATTTTTACTCAAAACATCAGGGTCAAATTGTAAATCAACTATAATTTAATACTTCTTTATTTTTGTCCCAAATCAAAATGGGAAGGGAGTATTAAATAGTACTTTTTCTGTTCTGAAGTATTTGTCTAGATTTGATTTTAGGAATTGTTTTTCTAAGTATTTGACTTTTCAAATTGTCTCAATATGTAAGCTTAAAAATATTTATGTGTGATCTTATTTGATTTGTTTTAACATATAGATTATTAATATATAATTTCTAAAATTTTTTAATATATAAATTACAAGATAAAATGGATTAAAGAAGTTTTTATTGGATGGTGTATAAAAATGTAAGTGGATAAATATTATGGGACGGAGTTAGTAACCAAAAAAGAGGTTGCAATCCATTTCTTGTGCATTTTAAAAATACTTCTTCTCACATTATTATGTTTAAAATATAAAAATATAAAAGGTAATTTTGTTTTTGGAAATGCAATAAGTGAATAATGTTTAGTTATGACGAATACTCTATATGTTTGTGTAAAATTGACAGTTTTTACCTTTTGATTGTAAAATGGGTTTTTCAATATTACCTTTTGATTGTAAAATTGACGGTTTTTACTCTTCTAATTCCCCGGTAAACCCTCTACTCTGCCGACCCAAAAACACCCCTTACCCCTGTGAATTGCAACCCATTAGTTGACTTTGACTTTTGAGTCAAATTTTGATTCCAAAGTCAAAATTAACTTGTGGGTTACAATTGATGGGGGTATGGGGTGTGTTCGGGATTGACAGAGTAGGGGGTTTGGGGGTACGAACCATCAATTTTACGAGTAGGGCACTGGAGCGTTTTTGGGTATCCCATGACATTGAAATCCAATGTCATGGGAACCCCATCCTGATTAGTGTTATTACATTAGAAAATAAAAATGTATAATTTGAAAATTAGAGTACGTGTTATTTTTTGATTTTTCGTGTTTTTAAAGTATTTTTTTTATTTTTCTTGAATGAAAGCATAACTTTATTTTTCACAAAAAGATGTTCCATGACAGCCACCAGGCACCAACTAGTTGAAACACCACACCTCAAAATAAAAATAGAAGCACTCTACATAATACACTTCCTCTTCCTTCTACCCCAAAATATTGTTCTTTCGTTGTGTAAAAATTTGTTCCTTGCCTTCCAAAGGATGTCACAGGCCACCGCATACATTCTATAAGCCTGACAATCGGGTCAATTGGTTGGGTTTTGGTTTGGATCTCTTTTGGATATATGTTATAATCGGATTGTATTGGTTTAAGTTGGGTCAGTTCGATTCTGAGTTTATTTTAGTTTGATTGATTTTTTATTTTGGTTGGTTTTGGTTTGTGTTTGTATCGGTTCAGGTTTGTGTCGGTTCGGGTTGAGGAAATATTTTGTGATAATTTATAAATGTGTAAGCGTAAAAGCAAAAGAAATTTATAACTTTTTAATTTTTTATGAAGTAGAATATTTAGAAGTGTTGTTATTTTTTAAATAATGAAAAATGAATAGTACAAAAATAATTACATTTAATATCTTAATGCTTCAAAAATAGCGATTAGGTAAAGAAATGTAAAGAAATCTCTATGAAGTTTATATATTGCCCATCTAAAAAAATTAATTACAATAAATAAACAAATTCATTCACTTATTTCTCAGAACTAGGCCTTACTTTTGTGGTTGCATTCATGTAATTTTTGGTATAAAGGTCGTACCTTGACTCTTGAGCTTGATGTCTTGGCAAGAGTCAATCTCAGTTGCAACCAAGTTTCTCAAGTGATCCAGCGCTAAGACAACTTCGGCAGTTGGTTAGAATGTTATTGCGAGAATTGAATTTTTTTCTAGATTTACTGTTGAAACTAGCATGAATAAGACTTGTCTGACTAGCATTCTGAGTGACAAGACCATATGTTCATTCTGCTTTCATCATTGAGGACGTCTAAGGCCTTGTAGTTGTCTTCGTTGTAATCGCATGACATCCCTTGTGACATAGCAAGTTTGTGTGGACTTATAGTTTTTCGATAGGTGACGGTAGGACTATACTGACTGGCGGTAGGCAAGAACAATTACTCACCAATTTTTGTTGATAATAGTGTTCTGGGCGATACTGAGGTAGCGTGAGGCAGGACCAAGGTATCGTAAATTAAGTAATAGATTGACTCTGAGACATTGTGTGTTGCATGACAGTAAGTAGAAAGTGTTTTCCTAACATTAGGCCCATATTTGTGATATGTAATGTTGGTATGTTTCCTTAGTGTGATTATTGTCATTAAATGGTATGTGTATAGTGATTAATGAGTTTGGTGAGTTAGAAGAACTCCTAGACTACCCTACTCTGGTTAAGATTTTAAGTTGCCAATATGTTGTAGAGCCTTGTGTATTTGGTGTCCAGTAACATTTTGGTAAAAATGTACATATTTAGAATTTAGGATCTAATTTGTATGATTGGAGGTTAAACCCAACCGGCATTTTTGGCAGCGTGTTGACCGGAATCATTGTTGTAGGTAGTGTTTCTGAGTCATAGTCTAGACTTGGGTCATGACCTTAGGTAGTGGCTACAAACTTGTCATAAAATAAGATTGTGAATAATGACACGTTGGTCTTATCCTAATATATGTTATGAGCAATTGTTAATAATGGAGTCTGACAAAAATATGAAGTATGAATTTATTTGATGATGTATGTGAAACAATTAGTGAATAGAATGCTATGGGTTATTATGTACTCTGAATTAATTCTATGTATGTCTTCTACTATTCGAATCTCTCACTCAGCGTAAAAGTTGGACGTGTATGATACAATTTGATAATAACTTATCTTATTGAATATTGAGAGATATGACTCTATATATAGGGAATACAAGAGTAATCAAAGTACAAGTAGGAAAGGAAAGAATAATCCTAGTAGGAAAGGAAAGAAGTATCCTAATTTAATTATACTTCCTAATATACCCCCGCAAGCTGATCAACGGAGACGAGGGGCAGCTTGGAACATAAGTACTCAAAAGGAACTGGCGGAAGCGGTTTGGTAAGAATGTCTGCTAGCTGCTCTGAGGAGGAAACATGATGTGGAGTCATAATGCCTGCCATAACCTCATCTCGTACAAAGTGACAGTCTGTGCCCACATGCTTCATGCAATCATGAAGAACCGGATTTTTGGTGACACAGATAGTCGACTCATTGTCACAGTATAACTTCGGTTTGGACGGAGGAATACCCAGTGCATCAGTGATATATCGAAGCCACATAGCTTCTGCAACCCCTGCAGCCATAGCTCGATATTCAGCTTCAGTGGATGATCTAGAAACACGAGTCTGCTTTTTCGTGCACCAAGAGATGATATTAGGACCGAGTAGG